GTTATGCTACGTGAAGGAAGCACATGGAGAGAACTTCGTCGCTATCTTCCGTGACATCTACCATGCAATGTGGGAAAACGGCAAGGATGTCAGTAAACCAGAGGTACTTGCGGAAGTTCTAAAGCAGCGTCTGAAGGAAGAAGGAGCCCAGGAAGTCATGGCAAAAGCAAACAGTCCGCCATACAAGCAGCAGCTGAACGATAATACTAAAGAAGCCCTCGATCGGGGTGCCTTTGGCTGCCCATGGTTCCTTGTGCGCAACTCTAAAGGGGAAGAAGAACCATTCTTTGGCAGTGATAGGTACGTGCTCTCTCATCAGTATTCCCGGCCCTGCCTTTTGCTTAGCATGCTCGTGTGTTCCATTGTGGGTTGACGAGGTTGGACCTTTACTAGTACATTCATGTTCAGTAAGGCGCCCGCTACGGGGGAGATGCCGCAACGGATACACAATGAGCTGTGAACAGTTGAAACATGGCGAACGAACACTCGAGAGCTGTGGGGCGCGCTAACGGGTATGCCACATAGGTTCCATTATATGTGGGAGTACTTGGGATTGCCGTGGAAGGATGTTCAGCTGTTGCCGCCGGCTGATGCAAAAGCGAAGATCTGACCGAGAAGATTTCGGGAGGCTGATAGGTATCCCAGTGCGTGGGGGATTGTTCGGAAATGGCGCGGGGGTGAAAGGCGGATTACGCAGTACGTGCGTCTAGACAATCCTGCGCGTCAGTGCAAATGTCTTCCAAGATTTCAGACTTTTTACCTCTTGCTCAATTTCTCAGACCTGTTTCTCTGCTCGAACGTCCTAATCGTCCCGCACAACCCTACATATCGTACCTTCAACCATCATGTCCTCGCACGCGGCATGCACGCTGCACGGTTGCCGTTTCGTACCACTCACGGCGAAGCGTGGTAGTGTAGCCACCGGAGACGGGTACAAGCTTCCCCAGACATATGCAATCGTATGCAAGATTAAGTCTCCACGACCTGTCAAGGCAGCATCATGCGCCACCGGAAAGTATTTACCGCACACGCGATGCGCATGGCTGACCAGATCCACGCTATTGCGGTCGGGCACCGGTACCAGGCGGTCGCTGGACTGCGGCCTTCCGGTGGCGTGGGGATTACAAGCGAGCTCGGAGGTGGATCGTTGTATGCGTGGGTAATTACTAGCCACATTAGTGAGTATATCGAAGCATGTGCAGTGTCTAGCCGGTATTGAGTCGGTATTGATAGGAAAGACTTACAGGCTTCCCCGCCTTCACCAGCGACAAGCCGACACCGGGGAATTCAGCAAATTTGGCCTTTTCCCTGTCGTGGGAACATATTGTTGCGATGTCCGGAGTACTCCAGGGCTGATTGCGAAGCGCATGTGTGACGTGAGCGTCATGATCGACGACACATGTAATACACGCGAGGCTCCTGCCAACCCAGCGAACATAGTCGCATCAGATTGCATACGTACCTGCGTCTCTGCACGCCATGACATCTCAGCTGGTCTCCTACTGGTGCGCCAGACACAATGGCTTGTTGCCAAGCCATGCCATGCAGATAACCGTTCGCTTCTGCACGCCGGCCAAACAAGACGATGTAGAACTTTTTTCGCCAGCTCAGCTAGCACTAAACGAGCAATCTTTCTTCAGCTCGACGCTTGACAGCTCGTCGTTATAGGTCTGCCAACCGCCATGCGAGGGGAGCGTAGACCGACACAGCCGTCAGGCAACTGGTATTTGCCTTCTTTGAGCTAGCCACGTTGAACATCACGGAGTAGCGGGATGGCAGTGCTGTTGCTTGATGAGAGTTATGCTTGCTTCTGACAATCTTTTCGCACCCCAATGAGTCTGCACGAAGGGAGTGTGGTCTAGCCTATACGGATAACCCGTTACCCTTCCGCGCGGATTCCGGAAGACTTTGCTGATTGAAAGAAATGGCGGGTCTACCCGAAAGCTTAGGCCTCTAACTCCGCGTACCATAGTGTAGCAAGACATGGGTGTGGCGTATTTCAAACGTGAGTCTCATCGCTTCAGTCAAGGTTCTAAGGCTGTCTTGGACTATAATTGTGCGGATCGTCCCTCACCTCTACATACCCAACATATGTGATTGGGCCTGTTTCATCATTTGGCTTCGGCTTCATCCTTACGCTTTGTCTTGTTGGTGTACGATCCGGATCGTCAGTTCACCGTGTGCGTTTTCCATCCCCGCTGTCCACAAGACTCGTTCCACCAGCCAGAGGGCGCCGATAGAGACCTTAGTGTGTTTGCGTGTTCATACGATCATTGCCTCCATCTTTGGGCTCCTCCTGGTCCCTCTGATCTCGTGGCACATTCTGGTGAGGCTACCTCTCTTCACGTAACCGCTCTGGCCTAGCGTACTGATGATGTGTATCGATTAGGTACCGTGCGTGGGCTCACTGCTGCATCATATAGATAGCAGGGCCAGCCTCGTCTCCTCCACTTTTGTGGCCGACCATTCACAATACCAAGTCTGGAAATTGCAAGACTTAGCGTTGTTGTCTACCTACCTTGGCAGAGCTTTGTACTCGCTCGAACTCCGCATCCCCACCGCCTAATCTCGTGAAGCGGTCAGGTCCGTTGAGCGAATGATAGAGTGTCACTCCTGTGAATACTGAACGTGCCCGTGTGCCTCGACATCTCGACAGCACCCCGCAATCTTCAGTCACGCCCACTTCACAGCGGTGGTATCCCGCCCGTTTTGGCCTCGCGTAATCGCGCATTCACGCCGACTTGCAATACTATTGTAAGGTTAGCGTCTCTTGGGGTACCCATAAGAGGCTGATGCCGCGAGAGCAGTCATGGCTCTCGCTCAAGAAGTCCCCCAGGATTGCAAGTATCTTCTTCCTCAATCTCTTGCTCAGCTTCAGCCCCGCCTAGTCTACGTCCCGGAACCTACCTCAGCGGATCAATTTCGCGACTTCCCTGACTATACTGGAATGCCGGATTCAATGATGGTAAGTGACGCCTATGCTGTCGCGGCACCGAAACTGACAACTGTGAAGGCAAGTCACTATGTGCAGACCCAGCCGTATGCACTGCAGAGGGTCGAGCAGGAGGACACCAAGTCGACAGGCGCAGCACCTGCCACGCCGAGCTCCAACAACCTCGCGTACTCATCTGGCCAGCACTGGAGCGGAGTCCCTACACCCCCGTTCGACTGGCACCATGCTATCCAACAGACGCAACCTTACGTCGTACCAATTTCGGACCCGCAATTCCGCCGGAATCAGGTCCTGACATACAACCCTACGCCCATCACACAGAACAGTATCGCGAAGAGCTTTAGCGACCCAATACCCTGGCCGTCGTCGGAACTCCATGGGCTGCCTCGTGGGATGGCCGCCAACAGCTCTATCCTGGACAAGAGCATATCACCGTCGCCAAAGAGTTACCACAGCGACGACTTCGAGAACACCTACAGTCCAGGGTCGATGCTAGATCAATCTTCGCCATGCGGAAATTGGAGCATACCTTCAGCGACCACCACCAACGCCGCCATCCTTTCACCTCCCTGCAGGTCTTTCCTTGTACACGACGCAGATGGCGACACTGGATACTCAGGACTCCCGAGGATGGACGAGGACACGGCCAAGGTCACGGCGCCATCCGGCTATCCTAGCCGAAGGGACCAAAGACCGATTGCTTCTTTCGGGGAAGAATACAACTCTGGATCAGATTATTCGCGATCTCAGACTAGTAGCGCTGGCCATTCTCCGTGGTACGGTGAGAACTTCGCGTATAACAACTCCAATCTAGCGTTCAGGACCCGCGACGTTGTGCGCTCCAATCACCCAACCAGTAATACTAGCATATCGTCGACAGACGAAGCAAACACATCGCAGTATCCTGTGACGCCCTGGGGTACTTCATGCCCGGATGGCGGTCTCCACAGCCGTATCCAGGACAGGTTCCACGTTCCACGCAGTGCTGGTGCCCAAGCCCAGCGAGAACACAACGATCAGCTACTCATCGATGGAAAGAAGAGAGGAGAGACATACAAGGAGATCAAGTCGAAGATGGTCGGTGAGAAGCCTGCAGAGTCTACTCTGAGGGGCCGCTACCGATCCTTGACCAAGGCGAGAAAGGATCGCGTCCGGAAGCCCGTCTGGACAATGATCGATGTAAGCTGACCGTTGGGACTTTACTTCCGTCATAGTAGACTGACACATCGACAGCTACAGCTCCTGAATGAGACCGTTCAGCAAGAGTTTGATCGTATCGAGAGCAACCTCCAGAACCCGTACTCGCTAAGCTTTGAGCAAAAGATCCTCAAAGTCGCTTGGAAGAAGGTCGCAGAGTTTATCGCCGACAACGGCGGATCGTACCATTTCGGCAACGCGACGTGCAAGAGGAAATGGTTGGAGCGCAACCAAGGTCGCAAGTGATCGGAGATATACATGGGCATGTCGAGCGACGGCATCGACACCCTCATCCTCCAGTAAACTTGACTGGTGTCAAGTACTGGTCATTTTGAAGGTACAAACTGCGACCACTGGAACGTTCCCCGACTGCACAGCGTTACTGTTGCTGTTGAGGCACCGAGGGATGCTGTAGGGGCACCTGTCTTCTGCAAATGCGCAGAAGATTGTCGCATGGCAGCATCTTTGTTCTGTTACTTCCGGAGTCGTACTCCCTGTCTGTACTAACTTGTTCTATTGTTATGTTGATGGTAATGTTGGCGAATATGTTCGTCTTAGCAGCATCTTGGGGGCGTAAGAAGCCTCCATGGCCTAGATGGGGAAGCTGCAAAGCATGGCGGTGGCATGACGTCGTTTCGGGAGGTCTTTTGAGCGGGTTCTTGACGATATAATATCCCTTGAATTGAATGTGGCACGTCGTAGCAGATCCTGTGTGACAAACGTGATGACGATAGTGAAGGAGATGTCCTGAGGTGTGAAAACAATTCTAGACTTTGGCGCTAGCTCGCGGTGGAAGCTCCATCGGTTGAACTGCCCACGCACACCACCTGTCATCGATACGTGACAACGAATGAAGATGATTCTCGGGCTATCTGAAGCTCTTCCGAGCATCACGAAGCGGAAGTTTGAGGCTGCAAAGGCATCGTCGGATCTGCTGTTCTCGCCCACGGAGCTAGCCATCATCCGCTCATCTGCAGGCATTCCCGTGAGTATGCCGACCCTGCCACCACCACCAGGCTCACACGCCAGCAGTTCCAATTACGATACTGCCCGTCGCTCGCCAAGAAACCCATTCCGAAGCTCCAGAATGCGACGCCCAAACAGAAGATCGACCCGTTCGAGAACCCCCCACCTGCCCTCCACCTGGCCGACATACCAGCCGCCAACCCAACCCATTTCCTCGTCCTCAACAAGTACCCCATAATATCCGAGCACTTCATCCTGGCGACAAAACCCAACAAGAAGCAAACACACGTGCTCGAACAGGACGATCTGGAGGCGACCTACGCCGTCTTGAAGGCATGGCAGGCAGAATCGGGCGGCGACGAGAAGCGTCTCCTCGCCTTCTTCAACTCCGGTGACCACAGCGGCGCCTCTCAGCCCCACAGACACTTGCAGTTTCTACCTGTGGAAGGAATGCGCGATAGCAACAATGCTAGCGACTGGGGCCTGCTCATAGATCTGATCTTGACGAGCCCGGCAGCCAAGGCAACTGGTAGGCGTCTGACAACTCTGCGCTTTGCCGTAGCTAACGCGCATCCAAGAACAACATCCCGCATTTCTGCAACATCCTTCTCTGCCATTTACGCACTTTGCCTACCCATTCGAATCTGAGCCTTCAGGTACCCAGTTGCTCGATGTCTACAACCGTCTGTACGACGCCGCGAAAGCCGCAGTCGACGCCTTCATTTCCGCGAATCCGAACGACTTCGCTCTGCACCCCACCGACGACGGCGATCTACCCATGAGCTACAACCTTGCCATGACGACTGCAGGCATGGTCATCCTGCCTAGACGTGCCGAGGGCACGATGCTTCACCGCGATGACGGCAGTGAGATCGGCTTCGTCGCTCTGAACGGTACAACGTTAGGAGGGACGATGATGGTCAAGCATCAAGACGAGTGGAACATGCTACGCCACGAGCCAGGGCTGCTGGACCGCATCCTGGGTGCGATTGGCATTCCGAAACCTCCTTCATCCAAAGTCGGCTCATCCAACATATGACCGGACCTAGGTAGGATCCACGTGGAGCATCGCTAGCCAAGCGGGTCGAGTACGATTGCGAACGAGCGAGTCCTTGCATCCTTCCCCAAATCCACACCAAAAAGATCACAAGCAAATGAATATGTGGACGAGTGATACCATGGCCACTTTACGAGACGCGAATGTCTAAGACGTGACGCGCATGCGACAATGAGCATGTGCCGCATCCGCATATCTCACGAGTAATGATAACCACCTAACGCAGCCAAACATGAAGAAGTCTTGAGAACTTGGGCACGATCGTGCAACGTCTAGTAAACAGACAACATCGAAGATTTCAGTATGTAACAGGTTGTGTCGATGACCTCGGTTTGTATTTTGTAGAAAGCCCGGGTAAGTCATCTGGTGTTGAACGGCACGTGAACTGGCGCGGTCATGAGACCACCCCAGCACCAAAACAAAAAAGGTACTCATGATGCATCAAATGCGAACACAAACTTCAGCTGAGCAAACTGCGGCGAGGTGATCCATTGTCAGAATGACTGTTTGGCTGGTGAGTTCTTGTAGCGCAAGGTTTGAATATGCATTCCACTGTCACCTTTCGCACCCCTCATCCATTATCCATTGTATATTCCATAGCCTAGCATCATGAAAGAAGAAGCAGAAAAAGCCGTAGAGACAGTACGTTATATGATAGTCATCGCATGCCTTGACAAAGTGCTGATCGAACTTGCCTAGGCCAAAGGGTTACTCCAAGACTTTGTAGTCGTGGTTTCCCTCGTGCGGACCTTGACGGAATCTTTCGGTTCTGCCAGTGATCTATACCGCAAGCTCAAGCGTAGATCTGGTAAGAAAGATAGCGACGACGAGGAAGATGAGTATCATATTCAGGGGCCATGGCATAGGCGTCGTCGCGACTCCATGTTTGGCTCAGAGAAGAGGAAAGGCGACTACAGTGACAGCGAAGAAGAGCTCATATGCACCTCTCCTTCCCAGATTCGAGCCGAGTACGAACGTGGGTATCGGAAGCTGGGCGAGCCGTTTGCGCGTGGCGATGGTATGTTCTCATTCAAGTCCACACTACCAGGTACTGATGTCGAACAGTTACAACGCACACCCAGCTCCAGTCTCAGATTATAAAGCTTCAGCAGACAGTCATCAATATCCAGCAGGATCTGCTACTAAGCACGTATATGGCGCCGTCATCTTCGCACTCGCACCTTGTACGTCTGATTCAGACGGCTCGTACAGCGCGTGCAGCTTCCATCGCTTCGTTGAACATGCAGTACGAACGCATGCTGCCACCACTCCCATCACCGCTATTACCTCGACAACCCGACGCACCTTTAAGAGTCCCTGGAGCATTCCCACTGCCCGACCATCCGCGACCACCGTCAAGACCACTGCGGCACAAGAAGCGCATGGACAGTAGCTCTAGCTCCTCATGCGAGTCAAAAGAGGTCTTGATAAAACCGATACCAATCGTGAAGCCCAAACCAAAGCCCACGCCTATACCTCCACCTCCACCTCCACCCCAGCCTCAGCCCCCATCTTCACGCTACAGCACGAGGCTCTTCTGCATCTACGCCAAAGACCTCCAACACAACCCCCGTCTCCACCTCGCCGACGCCTACCGACCCACCGGCGACCACAAGTGTCCTTTCTGCCGCACGCACGTCCCCATCCAACCCGGAAAAGCCTGGGAGCTCGTCGTCGATGGCTACAAGAAGAAATACGAACACGGTCATTGCAAAACGGCACCGCGAGCGTTTCGCATCAAGAACCGCTTTATTGTCAAGAGCCATAGAGAAGGTGGGGGCTTTGCATGTGTGCTTTGCGCCAGGTTCAGGAAGTCGGATACCGTGTGTAGGGGTATCGAGGCGCTGATGGATCATCTTTGGAGGGAGCATGCGAGTGAGGAGTTGGAGAGGGATGCGGATATTGTGGAGGTGTAGAGGGGTGTTTGATGTTTTGTTCGGTGCTCTAATGATTGGCGTTGGTGATACCCTTTTCGTAATTATCGGCTGCGTTGAACTTTCATTTGATACTTTTGGAATATTATCATGGATCCTATATGAACGGTTCGACCGAACTCGAAAGTCCAATTAATACGCGTAGAAAACGTTGACACCATCCCTCTTCAGCCGCCGGTTCGTCACCTGGAGCCACGCCCTCAGCGCCCAGGCCGATGCAATACACGCCCCGGCAAACGCCGCATTGCTACTCATAGCAATTACATACTTGGGTCCGTCGCTCGCAGGATACAGGTAAGGCGTGTAGATGAAGCTAGCCATGGAAACCACATTGACGATGGACAGTGACACGGCCTTTTTCTCCGTGGTCTGGCCTAGCGTCCCTGACACCCAGCCCAAAATCACTGAGTTGACCGAATAAACGCCTGGAACAAGCAATGTTAGTAGTAGGTCTCACGATAGGAGTGTCAAGAAGGACGGGGATGATGGAGGGGACAACGCACCGGAAGCGAAGAGGAAGCAAGAGATGTAGCGCGCAGCGGTGTTAAGCGTGATAGCACTGATAGCAAATCCAACGACTGCGATTCCCATCATGAAAGTAATATGCCATGTTCTATCGTTGAACTTGCCAGACGAGATCCCAATGCATATGCCGACCACGCCGGCGACGAGCGACGGCGGAGCAGTCAAGACCAACGTGATGGTTGTACTGAAGCCCAGAGACCTGACTACAGTAGGGAAGAACTATGTTTTGTTAGTAGCTGTAACACGAGAGTTATCCGAAGAATGGCTGATTGCGACATACCTGATTGAAAGACGTAGCGCTCAAATGCATATTCTGCATAAAGACGAGAAGATAAAGTCTTGGGTCGCGCAGAGCCTGCATGAAACCCGCTTTGACTCCCTTGCTTGGCTCAAGTCCAACGGTGTCCCGCTGGATGCGATCGTGCGCCAGCTGACGTTGTTCAGGTGTGAGCCACTTCGTTGTCAGCGGCTCATCCGGTAGTAAGAAGACACAGACGATCGACACGCCGACTGTGACGATGCCTTCGATGATGAAAAGCCACTGCCATCCATGCATTCCATGCTTGTCGTCCAGTGTCGCGAAAGTAGCCGCGGCGATGAGTCCAGCGAAAGAGACGGCGAAGATGTTTCCGGCATACAGGATAGATACTCTTGTAGCGATTTCCTTGCGCGTGTAGAACATGCTCAAGATGTATAGAGCGCCTGGATAGAACGGGGCTTCGACGAACCCGAGGAAGAAACGTACGAGTACCAGTCCAGTGTAGTTTTTGACTAGAGCTGTGAGAGCTGCTACACAGCCCCAGACGGAGCAGCACAGAGCCATGTAGAGCGAAGGCCGTACTTTCTTGGAAGACATGAGCATGTTACTGGGTATCTGCGCAAAGAGATAGCCAACGTAAAGAATGGATATGCAGGTGTTGTATTGGTTTCCGACTAGACCAAGGTCGTCTTCGAGATCGTTGAGGCGCGCGTTTGCTATCGCATTCTGGTCGAGCTTGTTGCTGGTAGCACAAGTGTCAGCAATGTGAAAATTGAAGGGTTTTTGCGACGTACAGAAAGTACATGCAAAAGAGCGCTGGCATCACTCGCATGTCCAGCTTGCGTACCAGCGCGATCTCTGCTGGATCTGTCTTGGCAATCGCACCAGTGTAGTCGGCGCCATCGAGCGCAGCTTGCGCCTTGAGGTCTTTTTCGGATGTTGCGACATCGTCGATTTGCAGGGGCACATTCTTCTCGGTATCTTCGTAACGGTCGGTGTTTGCGTTGGCCATGTTTGGCAATCTTCAGAAGCGCAGGATTGATGACTCGGTCATGTGCAGGATTCTGGAGTATCCTGAAGAACAGCACAAAAGGTCAATCCTCTCAAGAGAAGCGCCTTCTATATACCCCAGCTGGACGAACGTTCCCCAGAAAGTCCATGAGCAAGCTTGACCCCGGACTTTCCCCAGACCCCAACTTCTTCGTTGCGGCGCGGAGAAAACATGGGGAACATGGCAATGTCCAGAGCATCCCGCGGCGTCCGCTACGAGTCAAGTTGAAGACTAGGTAATTGGCCATGAGAGTCGTCCGCTTGTCCAGGGTGGAGAGCGGCTTGCGGCTGGACGACGCTAGCGCGGACAAAGACATGTCCGGTACGCCTGAGCGGCACATCGGCTCATGCCAGTGGCACTACGTCGGAACATTGCAAGTCCCCGTTACTCGCATGACTCCATCGAGACTCCAAAGAGCAAACCGGAGCGATTCATCATGGCGTTTTGGCGGACTCTCTCAAGTCCGCCTGCCAAACATGCGCTCGAGACCTAGCACGAAGCCGTATGCTGCAGTGAGATCGTCCAACGTTTGCCGCTCGGCATTTCCATGTAATGGATGGGCGAAGTACATATAACGCAAGCTTTCGATCCAACATTCAGCATCATCCAACGCAAATCAAACTCATCCACTCTCCTACAATCAATTCTTACTCCCTATCCAAACCCCACTACTTCTCTCACCACAATGGGTTCCATGCCTGAGGTCAAGCAAGCTCCCCAGATCGACCTCGCGGGTCTCGTCCCTGCGCCGGTTACTCCATTCAACAAGGATGGCTCGGTCGACTACGCAGCCATCCAGCGCCTTGGCTCCTGGCTCGGCAGTATCCCAGGCGTGAAGGGTCTGGTCGTGCTGGGACACGCTGGCGAGGGCACTTTCCTCACCCAGGAAGAGCAGGTAGAAGTCATCAAGGCCTTTGTCAAATCTGTGGACAACAAGATCCCCATCATTGCTGGTATCACCACAGAGGGCACTGAGGTGGCTGCGCTCGAAGCTCAACGCGCCAAGGCTGCTGGTGCGCAGGCAGGTCTCTTGTACCCCAGCCATGGCTGGCTACGCTTCGGATATCAGCCGGGAGCGCCCCAGGACAGATACAAGACTGTGTACGAGAAGTCCGGACTTCCTCTCATCCTGTTCCAATATCCCGACAACACCAAGGCTACCTACAACCTGGACACGCTACTCGAGATTGCCGCACAGCCCGGTGTCATCGCTATGAAGAACGGCGTCCGCAACATGCGCCGTTGGGACGTCGAGATTCCCATTATCAAGAAGCAAAACCCCGACCTGACTATCCTCACATGTCATGATGAGTACTTGCTACACACATGCTTCGACGTCGACGGCATGCTTGTTGGGTACGGCAACATCGCGCCCGAACCGCTGCTTGAGATGATTGAAGCCGGCAAGGCGAGAGACTACCCTCGTGCGAGAGCTGTTCATGACAGACTGCTCCCAGTCACCAGGAACGTTTACCATCGTGGCTCGCACATGGAGGGAACTGTTGCACTCAAACATGGTCTAGTGGCGAGGGGTATCTTGGAGCACGCGACAGTGCGAAGTGGACTTTTACCATTACAAGACGGCGCAGAGCAGGAGATTCATGCTGCATTCAAGTCAGCCTCGCTAGGCAAGGTCACACCGCCAAAATCGGGTTGATTGTATGTAATTGGTATTATTAGTATTCCTCTTGACGCTCAATGAAAGCTTTGTTCATGATAAAGTGGATTTTCTGTCATCGCAGGGTCGTTCCCGAACCAGTAATTGATGTCTTCGCCGTTGAAGAGATGCATGATCTCTTCGTTGGGTAAGGGATTGTCTGAATATTGCTGTGCAATACCAAGAAAGTTCCCTGCTCCCGCAAGATAGTCGAATGTAAGGCTGTTGGCATTTTGCATATCGGCAGGTTGTGCGTTGGCGTTAGATAGGGTTGACTCTGTCGCTTGGGTTGTGAAGCTTGCGGGATATGGTACTGCATGGGGCTGATCGGTAAGTCTCTGGAGCTGTTCTGTTGGCGTTACTGTGCCTGTTGCTGGATTGTGTCTTGAGGCCACGTAATTTCCCGAACGATTTCCTGTTACTTGTCTCTGAGCTTGCCAGTTATCCATGCCAATGGAAGGGTCGCGAGCAGCATGAGTTGCCGGCCGCAAGCTGTCCCTAGACGTGTTCGTAAGGTCGCGGCTACATGGCTTATCGAGTCGTGTGACAAGGTTTTGAATAGCGACTATGCATGCGTCTGGCCAACTCGTACCCCTCAGCGCCAGGTGCTTGAGAATCTGAATGCTTCGGTCTGAGAGCCTGAATGCGATGTCGCGCGTAACCTGTCCGTCCGCAGCAGCAGACAGGATAATAAACGTACTCATCCATACTGCCCAGGTAAATGATGGCCAAAGCAGAGGAGTTCTTTCGTATCCATGTTGACCAGGTGAGCCATCGAACGCCCCGAAACCCCGGAGGGCTTTGTGTAGTGTGTTTATTATGGAGCGAGAGGCTGATATGCAGCGTTGCAGAGCAGCGTTGTATGCAGCGTTCTTCTTAGACGTTGCTAACACAGAACGATGGAGAGCAAGCACTGATTCGAAGCGAAGGACGATGAGTGTGACTTGATGTGCTTTGGATATGGTTTGCGTCTGCTCGTCATTAGACAAGTGTTCATCGACCATATTCCACCACTTAGTATGCTCTGCCTCCACTTCCAGGGCTTGATCGACATCATCGGCGCTACCATGCAGCATAGATTGGTGTCGCGTTTGCATGATAGATCCACGGATGTCGGCATGGCGAGCTAGAAAGTCCAACAAATCTAGTCGGTCATCACGGGTGCGATCTTGAGGTGAGTTAGCCGAGAATCCTTGAAACCCAATCTGCTACAAACATACCAGCTTCCTCAGGCTCCCGTAGGTGTCGCTCTGTGTGTGGGTAGCAGACATTTGCCTCGTCTGACCTAATGCCGAGCGGCGTACCAAGCCGGATGCAAATATATCTATCGATGCATATTACAGACCAGAAAAGCCGCTTCCTTAGCTCTGCTTCTTTGCTTGGAACTGATAACTGTAACGGACAGCGATGCAGACTCAACTGGAAGGCCATTCGAACGGCCAAACCTTCCAGACGCGACGCCGCGTTGTACCTGTGCATCGTGATTAAGAACAATTGTACGCTAACAAGAGCCTGCAAAGAGAGGATCGAGCTCTCTTCAGTCAGCACCAACTGGACGCTCCTGATGGCGTCGTTGACGGAATGGAAAACGAGTGTTGTAGGCACTAGCTTGTGTGTAAGATTCATTTGTCGCCGGTCGTGAATGGAGATTGACATGATGGAGCGAAGTATGATGTGTTGGAGTTCGTTTGCTGTAGATTGAGATGCGATGCGAACGCCTCTCGACACGATTTGACGAAAATAATCCAGTAAAGAGGGCGCATGAAGAAACGGAAAGGCGGGATGCCAATGGTCGAAGTAAGACTGACTCCATTCGAGAAGGTCATCAAATGCGATAGCTGATGTGACGCTCTCTGGTGCAAGCGGGCGTACTTCGTCTGTTTTCCAAAGCCATCTTGAAGCACTCTTTGCAGCACCTGCGGGTAGCTGATCATCTTCTCCGGGTGCAGCATCACTCTCTGGGGTATCGACATGACGCACGGATGCCTGGTTCGCGGCAATGTTTCCTGCGCTGGACGGAGGCCTGAGGTTGCTGCCGGGGCTGGTGCCGAATGTACTGCGACTGTGATCCTGAGGGCTTGTTCCTTCATTCCCGAATTCCCGAAGCTGCTGGCCCATTGTCTGAAGAAATGCTCTACGTTTCCTTACCGCCCCGACATCGGGCACCGCTGTGTTAGATTCCGACTCATCATGAAGAGCCTGTCGCTTGTTGGACCTCGCATTGGCTTCGGCCATCATCTATCCGAGGATGCACTACACATGAAGCTTGGATATCAAGCTTTAGTTGTACTGGGATCGATATCGCCGCGGCGACGGTCATACACTGCAGTTGTGGGTGGCTGATGGAAATAGAAGAGGCTGGATGTGGTTGAGCTGACAGACGCGACGAAGATGACGCTTGACAAGCGATGAACCCTGGCAGCCTCATGGCGTTAGTGCCACGCGAGTCAGTTTCTTGGCCTGAAATTCGCGTTGCAAATTCACTGTCAATGTGTGCTTTACTTGCTACATGCTGTTTTCATAACACGTTTCAACATGGGAAAAATACACGTAGGATCCCAAAGATTCGTACAATCTCAAAAATATTTACGCCATTGTTCTGCAGTAGGAGGACGCGAGTCAAGCGACGTGCCCACCGAAGGTGCAACAGGCTCTAATCTGCCATCGCCTGCCGAATACGCTTCGTTTCCTAAATTTCCTCGCGGCGACATAGCCATCATATCTTGGTCTTGATGAAGAGGACCTGGCGCGGGTTCTGGAACATCGAGTACAGCTGGTGCTAACTGCCACGCAGCTTGCGCCAACCGAGGCTGCTGCGCAAATGGGAGGTTTGATCCGTCTACGACTGATGACCGCACATCCTCATAGTGTGCCACCACAGGACTCGACTCCATGACCCACGGTTCCGTTTGCGCAGGGCTTTCCTGAGATGCGTAACTGTTCCCTGCTTCAATACCTTTTCTCATGAGATCTTGTCTTTTCGACCACCAAGACAGACGTTCCTCGTCCGTGTTGAGGGGAAGGCTCTTCCATTCTTCTATCCTGTTCGACTTGGCCTGCTTCTGCACATTCTCTGCTAGTACACGGCGATCTGTGTCAGAGAGACGTTGCATCTCAATCGGTACCTGAGAATTGTAGATCGTGGAAAGGAGCTCCAACACGACAATCTCGGTCTCGAGCAATCGCTGTTCGACGAAGGATATATAACCCGATGGGATGCCTCTATTACAACCTTAGCTTCGCTTCCAAGAAACCACTCTCTTCACACCTTTTGTTAAGCGGCGGATACCGACACGAAGTCCCTGCCGATACACATTGCGAGCAAATCGGTAATTCGCGATCGCACTGTAGTCCGTTAGTTGATGCGTTGCAATGCTGGTTGATGGCGAAGACCTTTGACTTCTTGTTGCGACAGGACTCACATGCAATCGGATGGAAAGCACTAGATTCGTTCTAGATCGTATGAGAAGGCTGCCAAGCTTGAAGATCTGGGGTACTTGGGACTACTCACCATTGCATCGGCGCTGCATGGGCACCGCTGGCGGAAGGCGGTTCTTTCTTCGTGCGCTGCCGGACTTGTCTTTGTCCTAGCGTGATGCCCCGCTTGTTGTTCGGAGCTGCATCTGCGGGGATGACAACTCAGACGAAGCTACCTCGCAACAATGCAAAGTTCCCAAAGAGTGATCTCGAGAGCAGGGAAAAACAATTTAGTATTGAATGATTACACAATAAACTCTATCAAACTCATCAAACCAGCCCCAAACCACCAATGTAACTACCCCAAGTATTACCACCTCACCCCTTCAAATACTTCGCCCCACTCCTCGTACCCCCCTTCACAACCCTCCCCGGCGACTTCGATCTCCGCTCCTTCGCCATCTGCATCGCATGTTCGTCATCAAGAACAACCTCTTTCCCTGCCTTCGCTTTACGCGCCGCTTTACCTGCTGCAGCCGCTTTGCTCACCTTCTTCGTAACCGCTGTGGTTTTGGTGGTCTTTCTGGTAGGCTTGGTCTTGGTGGATGTGACAACGGTGGTGAGTTCCTGAACATCTTTTGCGAGGTCGTCGTCAGAAAGCTCGTCGGAGTCGTCAGATTCATCGGGTTGGAAGTGGACGGCTTTACCTGGAGACTTTTGCGTCCTGGTTCTGCTGCTTTTTCGTGAAGAAGAGACGATAGATTTGGAACGCTTGGTCTCGGGGGTGTAGTTTTGTTCGCTGAGACTGCGTTTACGCTTGGGCTGTTTCTTGGTGGTAGTCTTGGGGGTAGCGACGTTGGTCTGGCCTGTGGTAGGCTGCGTCTTGGGAGGTGAAGCCTGGGTAGACTTTGGCTGACGACCATTTGGCTTGTTCGGGATGACCACCTGTGGATGGATACTAGTCTTAGTCGGCGATGCAGGACTGGGAGCTGCAGTACTGATACCGCTTTGGCGTCTCGGGCTACGCTCGAGGGATGTCGCCCGCTCTCGGTTGAGCTTCCTAGCGACAGGTGAAGTGGTTTGTGGGGTTCGTGTAGGTATATCCAGGTTTGCCTGCTTTGCTGCGTTGAGAGCTTCTTCTGCTTTACGGACCTTTTCACGAGCTATGCGAGCTGCCGACTGTGCCGCACGAGCTTTGTCCCCTATAGCATGCGCATCCTCGTCTTCCAGGCGTGGCTGATCAACACTGCGGCGAATAGCACCGGTACGAGACTTGACAGGTGTCGTGTTGACAGCATCGCGGATCGTTGTAGGATCTACTAGGTTAATGTTAGCGAGACACATCCAAAAGAAAACTACATTGCTCACCTTGAGTTCCTGCGGAGAATTTGTCCAGGAAGACTCGTGGCGCATATTTATAGTTGCCGGCGCGCACTTTGTCATCATTTCGGTTCAATTCTTCCACAACCTCTTCCAGGCTTCCAGGAGTTCCCAATTTGCTGATCTCCTCTTGAACTTCGGCACTGGGTATCGGAAGCTTGAAGCGTGACCCAGACTCGTATACCGGGAGGTTCTTGTACTGC